CTCATCACCAAGCTGGCTGTGACCTTTCTTGTTCCCCTTGAGAGTTTGGTCGAATATCCTCCAGAACTTAGATTCGTGACGATGAGGAATTTGATCTTTTTCATTGCTTGTTCGCTCGAGCTCTCTCTCCCATGTTGCTGATGCGAGAATATCCAAAGCATTCAAGTATGTGAGCACTTGTTCATACTCCCTCAATGTGTGGAACATCTATCAGAAATTATTGGGTCATACAAGATCTTCAAGTTTAATTATCCTGATTTTCAGTGGGAGAATATGTTCAATCCATATACTAGGTTTTCTCACGACAAATTGAGTGAACACCTCCCCGCCGCAATAAGCAATGTGCTTTTCAACAACGTGGCATCCTCCATGTTGTGCTCGTCCTTGCCGACTTCAGAAAACACTAAGCAGCCGCCGCGGCCATCTTCTACTCGTCTTCGATCATGGACGCAATACTATGGATTTTCCACACAGAAACCATCTTGGGGGCTAACACTGTGGATCTGGCTCCTAATATAGTCCAGTAGTCATCGTGTTCACAATATCTAATATCTTTGCGAAAGATAACACAGAGTATTCTCCACATGATAGCTCAAGATCCCATCGACAAGTGGTCAAAATTATCTCAAGCTCCTCCAAGATTGCTCCTCTATCTCGTGTTGGGCATCTTGATGCAACACGAAAACCTAACTTAGACGAAGAAGAGGAGGATATCAGACTGCGGGTCTGGACTGATGGATGTTTCTATGACTAACTACCTGCCCTCACTAGACTATACACGTTGCATCACTTCACACTTCTGACGTGAGAGATTTGGAAAAATGTTTTGACTTCTTAGATCTCGTCTACCTACAGCCTTCCGTTCCTGAGAACAGAAAAACTTCTACGGACAACGGCCGTATATCTCCAGCCTCGCCTTGGGCCGGATATCTCCAGTCTCCCCTCCAAGTCGCTTAATCCTACGAAGAAACCAACCTTTCTGGGCCGTCGCCCTCGCCCAGTCCAAAACACTGTACCGAATCGTGTCAGGACCGGACCCGTCCTCGCCAAGGTGCACCTCACCATCACGTTCCATTACCCCCCTGGGCTTCAAAAAGGGCAGCACGTTTGGCGTTCGCAGCAGCGCCGCAAAGATCCGCTTCCTACGTTCGTCAGCATCCCCCCTCAGAGCCTCACGCAACCCTCCCCACCGCGTCACGAGCTCTGAAGGCACGGGAGCCTCTTCATCCAGTTCGAACATAAACTTACCCTCGAAGTTGAAGAGCGTACATGCGGGCAGCGGCATGCCGGGCTGCCAGCGCTCAATGTTACTGCCGATGCCGTGCGTCGACCACTCTGTGCCGACTTGCTCCACCATACGCGCCCATTCGGTTTCCCGGGAGTGACGATATCTTTTTGCTTGTTCTTGATGCGCTCTGGTGAATACACCACCGAACAGTACGTCCATGACCTGGAGTTCGTCCTCGCGCTTGACCTGAGCGCCGTGTAAAAGGAGAAGCTTGACGGCCGGAGCATCGAGCCAGAACACTGCATAGTGGAGGGGCGAGAAGCCTTCCTTGTCGCACAAGTTCGGGTCGGCGCCGTGTTCCAGAAGCCACTTGAGCAATTTTGGCCGGTAAAAGTTTGCGTCGCCGAGAGAATGGTCGAAGCGGTGGCCTAGGAGAGCCAGGAGCGGCGTGATGTAGAGCGGCTTTATGATGGCGTTGATCTGATCCTTACCATCTTCTACCAAGTCGAACATGGCCTGTGGAATCTCGGGATCGTCCGAGAAAGGATGAACGAAAAAGATTTGCAGAGGGGTGAACCTACCAAAGTCGCCGGTGTAATCACTGTAGTCACTCATCCAGAATGATCTTGAAATCCTGTGCATGAGATCGCTGCTTGGGAACCCAAGGGTAAAGTTCCCGTAAGACGATACTGCTTCGACAGCCAGAGGGTGGCTTATTAACAAATTGAAAGCCGCTTTGATGGCGCATGCTGTTTCCTCATTGCTCTTATAGTGTGCTTCCAAGAGAAAGTAGTCAGGTAGAAACAAATCTTGAAGGGGTGTCACCTTATAGAGCTCGCTATCCTTCACGGACTTACTGCCCTTCATCTTCTTCCTAGGGCTCTCCTCAAGACATGCCCCGAGTGGGTGAGCGCCTAATTCGAGCAGCGTTCGGATGTGAGCGACGTTGAGCTGCCTACATGCGAGATTGAGAGCTGTCTGAGGGATCTTCCGGAGAGGTCCATGTTGAGGGATCGGAGGTGGTCGTAGGTCTATGCTAGTCGTGGTCTCTTCCAACTTAACGCCCTGTCGGACGAGCTCTCTTATTGCAGAAGAGCAATCTGTCTGACGGAGACAGACAGCATGGAGAGCATTGAGGCCGAACTCGACAGGTGTATGTAGCGGCGCACCTGCTAGGGTCAGTTTGCGAACCATATCGCCGGAGACGGCGTGATGAAGTACCGGAGTATTCATATGGAAGCTAGTTATGCCTCCATGGTCAAAATCTGCGCCTCGATTGATCAACATGTCCACCAAATCGACATGGTCTCGAGCAACAGCAATAGCAAGGAAGAGTCCATGCGGATCGGAAATCTTGGTCAAGAAGCGTGGTGGGAGAGACCTGAGAATAGTTTTGGATATGGTCAACGCGTTCTCGGGAGCCAGCATAGCGGCATGGAGGGGCGAGGGCTGCCCATAAAGGTCTCTGTCAAACTCATACAAGCCAATACCTGACTCTGGGCTTGCAGCAAATGGACGCGGTTCCCACCATGAACGATGACGGGCGGCGAAGCTTAGTGCTGGATTAGCCCCCTTGTGTAGAAGCAGGTCCACGACTTGAGCATAGCCTTTAGACGCAGCCACCATGAGTGGTGTCCATATAGACGGCTTTAGGCTGTGTGGGACGTAGTCCGGTTTAGCTCCGGGCTTCTCAAGGGCCTGGCGGAGGAGAGCAACGTTGTTGTGCACTGCGGCGTGGTAGACGGCCCTGGGGTTTTCGCTCTGAGCGTCCCACCGGAGAGCAATGTCGTTGATCGCTTTGTGGTAGTACTTATTGACCATGCCCGCGTTGAGCATGGCCATTGTGGGATGCATTTCCTTGGCGGCTGATATGATGGTGCTTGAAAATTCTACATCCCTCAAGTCCCTAATAATGGCATTCTCAACGTCGTCGTCGGCGGGCAATACGTATGTTTCTATCACGTACTCTCGCCCCTTTGTCTCGGCCTGAAACTGGCCGAGCCATTGAGCTATCTCAAGGTACAATTCTGCCGGCAACTGAATTTGGAACTTGCTTTGCTCGGTGACTTGGTCTGGAGAAGACATATTGCAGTATGTTTGAAGAATCAAATCTTGCTTTTGTTGAAGAAAATCGGATGGGGTGATGAATGGGGTCTGAGTGTTGTCGCTGTGTGGATGTTATCTGTTATGTGTCTGTTGTGCGAAGTAAATGTCCATGAGTGTGCTGACAAGCCCTGTTAAATACGAAGGATGTTTCACGACTCTCGACATTGTGTACTATGGCTCCAGGAGAGTTCAAAAGTGTCAAAGGTGATTGTGTAAGCTCGCCATTGTTCGATTGCATAAAGCTCAAAGAAAAATATTTGGTTCAAGCTTCGAGGTTGTGATTCATTTCTAGGCTGCGTAAACTGGCTCGTGGCTGACGATGTACTAGCATCGCAGCGGACACTGACAGGACATGTTGTTCTTTCCATCATATCGTCATTGTTCGTTGTTTATTTCTCTTTCTTTTTGGTCCCCGCTTTCTTTGAGGGGCCTTTGATTCTTCTCGGTCAGCGCGCACAAGAGCATTGTTTGCGCTTACCACTTGGCGTCCTTGCTGGCGAGGAAGCCCTTGAGGATGCCGACAACCTTCTCGAGGGAGGCGAGGTAGACGCGGAGCTCAGCGGCGACCTTGTCCTGGTCGGAGCCGAGCTTGGCGTAGAAGTCCTTGCGGTAGGGGCAGGCGCTCATGGCGGCGCTGAAGATGGGCTTGACGAGGAAGCTGTGGTGGGGCTTGAGGGTGGTGGCGTAGGCATTGCGGAAGGACTCGGAGAGCTCCTCGGACTCCTTGGCGACGTTCTGGCTCAGGGCGATGCAGGTGAACTCGAGACCACTGGCAGAATGGTATTGTTAGTTTCGGCCGCTGCGTTGTCGGTGATACGGGGAGCTCAGAGGCAGACTTACCGAACCAGCCAGAGGAGACCCTCGGTGGCAACGTGCTTCTTGGTGGCCAGCTCGGCCTTGACGAGCTCCTGAAGGGTGGCGGACTCGCCGGGAGCAGCCAGCTGGCGCTCACGGATTTTCTGTACATGGACAAGTCAGGCATTGTTCGTCAACGTCTTTTGGATGTAGTTGTAGGAGCAATATGGTAGTATCCGAGCTTCGTGACAAGGGATGATTCGGAACATGTGGTAAAGGGTATTGGGGGTATCGAGAGGAGTCAGGTCGTACCTTGATGTTGCCGCCCATGTCGCTCTTGACGGGACCGAAAGCAACGCCTCCAAGGGCATCTAGAAGAGGGGATATTCGTTAGAGACATGGAAACCATCAAAGGCTCGGTGTCTCCTCTGGTGTTGAGAGAGAGCAGCCGTGCTGGGGGAACATACCGAAGATGGTGGTCAGAGACTCGGAGGCATCGAGGAAGTCGGAGGTAGGGATGGCATTCTCCTTGTCGGCGTCAGGCTTGACATCGACAAAGGACTTCTTGAAGGTGTCGAGGTAGGTTCCTCCGGGAGGGATCTGAGCGGCCATTGTGTCTGATGTAGGGGGTTTGTTGATGTGTTTGAAAGATGTGTTTGATGAGAGAGAAAGAAGAATAGGAGAGTAGAAGCGTAGAAGAAAGGGAGGAGATGTAGACAGGTAAAGAGCAGATGTTCCAGGAGCTGTTCAGACGAGAAGCGAAACCCAAAAAAAGGGACAGGACGGGAATCGAGGGGCGGTCAAGCAAATGGCCCCCCGGGAAGCCACGCATACGCAGCAACCCGGACAGCAATAGCAGCACCAGAGCTTCTCATGGGCCATGGCGGGGACCTCTCCCTGGAAACCCCACCACCTGGGACCTGGACCGCCCATTGGAGATCCAACGCGCTAAGCCCAAGCTGTCACAGTGGGGTTGTCGGATCCACTTGACCGGCTGCTCGTTCCTGATACGTTGGTACAGTGCGGATAATGATTACCCCTCATTCCGTTCAACCCCAATCACGTGCAATTGGGACAGTGCATAGACGCATGGGGCACAGTCCATCGCGGGGTCGCGGAAAAAGGAGAAGGCGGAGCCCCGTCCAGTCGGCCCTCTTCCCTCTGCCGTGCCGCCGGCTGCCAGGGACTCCGCTCGCAAATCTCCAGTTCGTAGATGAGGGACCACTGTGTTTCTCATCTTGAGATGCTCCCTTGCGTGTATTTTGGTTTGATCTGATATTGTATCTTGCCTTCGATGCCTTGGTCTTCTCATTGCTAGTTGCTCACACTCTGTCGTCTAAGTCATATTCGTACATATCTGCACATATTCAAGTACATTACAGACAATACACAGCGGGACGAACCGAATCTCCAAACCCATCTCATCAATTGAGACAGTTGTCTTGTGGTACGATATCATAGCATCAGAGATACAAAGATGGCCGTGGGAACAACAAATCACCAGCCTCTGCCGGACACGGCACAGATCAAGTTCACAGAAGCCGAAAGACCAGAGAGACGTGCAGTCGTCACCACCATAAACTACTATGACGACCCTGGAGATGGAACCCCTCCCACCCCAATCGTTGTAGGGGGGTAAGGCCGCTTTCCAATATCCATGTCTTCAAGACTTCACATTTCTCGAGTACCATGTCAATAGCTCGAAATACTCATGCCTTTTGTTCAATTCCAGTCAAAAAGTCACAAATGAGAGGAAAATGACACCTCGCACCGTCACCGTCTCCGACATCAGAGGCGAAGAGGACAAGTACACCCTCGACACCCACGGCTTCCAGTACGTCCGCCACACTAGCGTTGAGACGGACTTTACAGACGAGGAACGGGTCAAGGGCGTCTACTATCCCGAGATGGAGAAGCTGTACAAGGAAATGTAAGTCTTGCACGCTTTCATTTATCCAAGCCGGCCGCAAAGTGGGCAGCTTTTGGGCGGTGTAAGGTTTATTATATACACCAGTGGGGGCCAACATTCACAATTGAGGGCCCATGCTCACCAGGGGTCAACACCAACAGCACGGGAGCAAGCCGGGTCGTCATCTTCAACCACCAGATCCGCCGCGGGCCGGCAAACTGGCACAGCCTAGGCGAACGCAACACGGAGCACCGCGGCCCCCTGCACAAGGCGCACGTGGACCAGTCCTACGACGGCGCCGTCATGATGGCTAGGCACCACCTCGGCGCGGATGAGGCCGAAAGACTTCTCGACAAGGAGAAGCGCCGGTTCCAAATCATCAACATCTGGCGGCCCATCGCGACGGTGCGGCGGGACCCGCTGGCCGTCGCGGACGGGACTACGGTCGCGGAGGAGGACCTCGTTCCGGGCGCGATTATTTATCCCCGTCACCGGGCCGAGACGTGGACGATTAAGCCGAATCCGGCGCACCGGTGGTACTTTTTGGATGGGCAGAAGCCGGATGAGGCGTTGTTCATCAAGTGTTTTGATTCGGATACGTCGGTCGTTCGGAGGGCTGCGCATTGTGCTTTTCGGGACCCGGAGATGGATGAGATGGAGTGTCGGCAGAGTATCGATATCCGGGCGTTGGTGTTTCACTAATGGGTTGGGAAGCTGGAATGATGGACGGTTGTCTTGTCATGGTTGTCTTACCTTGGTCATTGAAACAAGACATGGAGGGCGCAATTCAGACGTTGAAGCTGTGCTTATTCAAGACAAGACGGTTAACGGTAGCGCGGGCGCATGGGCAGATACACGTGGGAAGACAGGACCTAGATGTGTTCTAATGTAGATCAAGGAATGCTGATGATAAACACGATCGGATCTAGCAGATCTGATGCCGCGCCCAGAAACTCTGCGCAAGCGTGTCTGTGACGGATCTCCTGAGAATTAACAACTATATCAAAGAGACGATGCTTGCGGCGAAGTGCGGTCGTTTCGTGGTGGCAGTAAGGGCATGAGGCTCGGCAATTCAAAGATTCAACGATTCAGTTATTGGTCTAGACACACTATCTGTTGAGAAATGTGCACTCTCATGATTCGAATATGCTTCATAGAGTGGTCTCAGTAGGTAAAGAAAGTCTCATGGGCTCACTTGAAGCCATGATGCGTAGCACTTCACCTAGAAATTTAAGGCCACATTAAACCCAACCCCAAACTCAAATTTCACAACATCAGATCCTCAGAAAAGTCCAACTGACTCTGGACCTCCGTCTCCCTGGTATACGATCAATGGGCGGGTATTCCCGAGGAACAATGGCAGTACGATCTGCCGATATTGTGACGTCACGGCTGTCGTCCGCCAAAGATGCAGAAACGCCAAAATTCAGGTTTCCACCCTTCCGCTCGGTACCAGTCCAGACCAATGCAAACTTGCGACAGGCGGCTCGCAATGGCACCATGACAAGGACAAGCCGGAGTTCGGCACATGTGCCATGCTCTATTTCGCCCTATGCATCGTACCGGGCTGTCGTGCGACCAGGACTCGACATTTCACAGGAGCTGCAACAAATGCATGTCGCAGTTGACAGCAGGGCAGAAGATGCGGCTTTCGACGGGATGGGCAGCTGGGACTTATCGATAAGATCCGCCAGATCAATCTTATCAGAGATGTACGTACCGTGACTGACGTACTGGAGATGACGTCAGGACAAGAATAGAGTAGCAGGCCCCACCTCTCAAGCAAGAAACCAATGACGGCGTTCCATTGACCAATTCAAACCGCCAAAACGGACGGGACCTTCCCTGTGACCGGCGCACCGAGCGCGGGGCAGGCGTTCTTTTACGTTTTTGTTTCTGCAGCTTTCAGCCCACCAGATGCTTCCAATTCCAAAAGATGTTGTCAGGGAAGAGGGCGAGATTGGTGTTTAAATGTCAGGCTCGAGTCTCATGGCTGTGATATGACCCGGACATCCAGGGGCACGCGAGCCCTTGCTAAGCTGAGCACTGGAGCCTTTCAAATTGAGTTCAGCTGCGGACTCTTACCAGCCTTCCGAGCTGTGGTCCCAACGGCTGAAAGAGGAGGCGCAAGACGCGTGGCATTGCATGCTCGGTTTGCTGGTCTACTGGTCCCAAGACATGCTCCTCTTGGGCCTCGGGATCGTTTTCTCCCAAAGACTGACAGATGGAGGGTGGGAGCTTGGCTGGATTCGATGGTGTCCCTGACGGGCTGGACAGGGGCTGGATTCTTGCATCCGGATCATCACAGGCACAAGCTGCGAGGCATGGATTGTTGTCGTCCAAGACCCGAGTCGTTCGACCCAGCGGATCGTCACATTTGCCCCGCCTTGAAATCGAGTGCGACTGTAATTATCCGTGGCTGCAGTGCGTGCCTGTTTGCACGTACGCAGGGCCGATACCGAGGTGGGTGGGAAGGTACTTGGATCTGCATACAAATCCTGCGCTATCCAAAAGTACCTATTCGTAGTCTTGTCGTGTCTCACCACCAACAATCGTCGTGTGTGTGTCGTTCCCCCCCGTCCCGGCGTTGCGCCCACACTTTTCTCCCAAGTGCGCGAGTGAGAGTTCCATTTCCTGTTCGTTTTCCTTGGCCTTGGATCCTGCTTCCGGCCGAACTACTCTCGATCCTCGCACCCCAATCAACCTGCTTGATTAGTTCTCCCGCCGGCGCACGAGTGACGGGAATGACATAGCCCGGGGTTTCTAATTTCAAGCTTTCCCTCCAAGCTTTACTACTTTCCCCATCCCACGCGCTGTCCCTCCATTGCCATTCTCCTCCTTCTCTTTCCCCGTCTCGTCTTCTCTTCTCCCTCCTCCTGAACCTATTCCCACACCTACAAGTCCAAGCTACACGAAGCTTAAACACTTTCCACTGACCTTTCCCCATCCGAGTGCTGCATACTTGGGCTGGAATGCTTCAACTTGTTCACCCCGCCATTCAGTGTACCCCGCGCATCCTATGATACCCCTCCACACCAGCCACACCCATTAACTTCAATTTCAACTATCCGTTCCGTTCTCCACGACTTCATGATCTAGAAATACCGACATTCAGAGCTTGCGCAATTCTTCCATTCGAACATACCCTTCATTCAGCGCCCAGGGCAACAAACCGTAATCATGGGGCTCATGACCACAAGCGACCATGGCCACAAAAAGGAAGAAAGCGGTAGTGGCGGCGGTTTCATGGATAAGTTGAAGAAGCCATTCCGCGAGCTGGAGGATAAGCTGGAGGGCACCCATCTCCATGACGCAAAAGTCCATCTTGTGCATAAGAAACACCAGATTGGCAAGCTTGCCAACCTTGTAAGACCATCTTCTCCTCCCCATTGAAGCTCATTCCACCTGGAAAAGCTAGCTGCCTGGAGCGACCAGCACAACTGACACGCGCTCCAGTTCAATGCCAACCACCGCCACGACGAGGAGCACGAAAAGGCCACCGACGACAAGCGGACAAAGATTGGAGAGGAGCACCGCTTCAAGTCCTTCTTCCCGGAGCGCGACGGCAACCTGATCAAGTGGTACGTCGACGGCCGCGACTACTTCTGGGCCGTCTCCGAAGCTCTCGAGGCCGCAAAGGAGACCATTTACATTTGCGACTGGTGGCTGTCCCCTGAGCTCTTCCTGCGCCGTCCCCCTCACCACAACAAGGAATGGAGATTGGACCAGGTCCTGAAGCGCCGCGCCGAGGCCGGCGTCCAGATTCACATCATTGTCTACCGTGAAGTCGAGGCCGCCCTGACTTGCAATTCTGCCCACACAAAGCATGCCCTGCAAGCTTTGTGCCCCGAGGGCTCGCCTGGCTACGGCAACATCAAAATTATGCGCCATCCCGATCACAATGTCCTCTCCAACGGCGCCGATATGACATTCTACTGGGCCCATCATGAGAAGTTTATCGTCATTGACTATGCCATGGCCTTCATCGGAGGTCTCGATCTGTGCTTCGGTCGCTGGGACAGCCATACCCACCCTCTCGCTGACGCACATCCCGAGGGCGTCCAGAACGAGGTCTGGCCGGGACAGGACTTCAACAACAACAGAATCATGGATTTCCAAAACGTCCAGGACTGGAAGCAAAACGAGTTGAGCAAGGCCGAGTACGGGCGCATGCCTTGGCACGACGTATCCATGGGTGTCGTCGGCCCCTGCGTCTACGACATTGCCGAGCACTTTGTCCTGCGCTGGAACTTTGTGAAGCGCGACAAGTACAAGCGTGACGACCGATTCGACTGGATCCAGCTGCGCGGCCGTCTGGCCGAAGACGAGGACCTTGTGGGAGTCCAACGGCCTAAGCACCCTGTGGGAGAGTACCTCACCCACCCTCTGGACGAGAAGAGCCTGTCGAACCTGGAGAACAAGGGATCCATGCACGCTCAGATCGTGCGGTCCAGTGCCGACTGGTCTAGCGGTATCCTGACCGATCACTCGATCCAGAACGCCTACTGTGAGATCATCAGCAAGGCCGAGCACTTTGTCTACATAGAGAATCAGTTCTTCATCACCGCCACCGGCGACCAGCAGGCACCGATCCACAACCGAATCGGCCGAGCCATTGTCGATGCCGTCGTGAGGGCTGGCAAGGAAGGCCGCAAGTTCCGCGTCATTGTCCTCATCCCCGCCATTCCTGGCTTCGCCGGCGACCTCCGAGATGATGCAGCCACCGGTACCCGTGCCATCATGGACTACCAGTACAAGTCAATCTGCCGCGGCGAGCACTCGATCTTCGAGCAGGTCAAGAAGGAGGGCATCGACCCCAGAAACCACATCTTCTTCTTCAACCTGCGATCATACGACCGTCTCAACCGCACATCCGCCGTGGAGAAGAGAGAAAAGGACACGGGCGTCAAGTACGCCGAGGTGCAGCGCGCGCAAGCCGAAGAGGTCATGGGCACGGGAATCCACGGCATCAACGACCCCACCGAGAAGGAGCGCGACGAGCACATGGGCGCCAAGGCCGAACAAGTCGGCGGCGGCAAGACCACGGAAGCCCAAAATGCCATCGACGCCAAGCAGCGCTTCGAAGCCAGCCTCGGCGACGCGCAGCTCAACAACAAGACCTCGGTTGCGCAGCACGCCATGGCCAACTCCGGCTCCATCGAGGACGAGCCGTGGGAGGACGAGGACCCGGAGACGGAGATACGCAACTGGATCCAGGAGGAGCTCTACATCCACTCCAAGCTGCTCATCGTCGACGACCGCATCGTCGTCTGCGGCTCCAGCAACCTCAACGACCGCAGCCAGCTGGGATACCACGACAGCGAGCTCAGCATCGTCATGGAGGACACGAAGCGCGTGCCGAGCACCATGGACGGGAAGCCCTACGAGGCCGGGTGGCACGCGACGTCGCTGCGACGGTACCTGTGGCGCGAGCATCTTGGTCTTCTGCCCGCACAGGACCTGGACGGGTCGCAGGACCCCAACGCGCGTCCGCCGGGCCACGCGGAGAATGACCCGTGGGACCGCGACGAGACGTGGAAGTTTGTCGAGGATCCGATGAACGACGAGCTGTGGGAGATGTGGACGGGCAACGCTACGCGGAACACGGATCTGTACCGTCACCTGTTCCACGCCGATCCTGATGACCACAGTAGGTTTTCCCCTCTCACATTGTGCAGTATTGAATCAGAGCTAACATTCCC